TATTATATTATATTATATTATATTATATTATATTATATTATATTATATTATATTATATTATATTATATTATATTATATTATATTATATTATATTAGTAATAATTCAAAATTATATCTGGCCAGGGTAGAATAACTTCTGTCTAGACAAGTAGCATTGTAAATCACAGGCAGAGTACTAAGTGGCTTTTGCACATTGCAACAAGACCTTTATGTCAGCAGGGTGGGTCCTCTGAGTCCTAATTCATTATACCTGTGTTTAGTGAATTTCATTATTAACTTCTACAAATATCCAGGATTTTTTTGCCAACATTCGTGATTTCATTTGACTTGGCAGTGAGCACTGAATTGAAAACTAAGGAAAGGAAAGAATTTGGCAGTTGCATGCCTTTTTTAAAGCCAGAAGGCTTGTTTCTCATTCCTCATGTGCATTCCTTTTGGCCKTGTTGAACTGAGTGGTGGTCTTTCTAGGGAACTACCTGGAGAATGAGTCTGTGAGAGCTTTCTAAGCCCTGGTCCTGAAGAAATTTGCTTTCCTCCAACACCATCTTTAAGTATACTTTTTGTTTGCTTAAATTATCTCATTAACTAAGGTGTGTTGTAACACCTCTGCATCTTTAGCTGCTAGTTATTTTTAGAACTATTGTAGGTACCAGCAAGGAAAGCTCAACTTCCTAGTAGCAAATAAGCAACAGGCAAAACRTACCCCAAAAATCTTCTATAGGCAAAAGTTTCTGATTAATAGCTCTTTAGTTAGCTTTCAATTTAAAAAGGGTATCTAGGATATACATTTAACCTTCCTACCTTGACTCCTGTGGCCCTAAATTCCTTTACTTTGTGAGTTCAACCCTAGTAACTTTATACTGGTGGCTTATGTAACATTATACTCCCTGGCAGTACRAGTGTTTTATATCATGTCCTACTAAAATATCATGAATCTGATAGTCCACTTTACCATGTTGACTTTTGTTAATTTTATTTATGTTTTGGGGAAGGTGAGAGAGAAGATACACTTCTTTCTATGCAGGAGTGGTGGTGTGATTCAAAAGGGAGAATATCTCTTAAACTAGGCATGTGAAAGTGGTGTACTGTGAGAAGCTTGTACTGAGTAACAGGTGAAGTAGAAAAGTTTCATAATCATAAATAARCCATGTTTACTGTATTTGAAACACTGAGTTTGCTTAAAGTGAGCAACRCCAAGTACAGACCAGCAGGAGCCAGTTACATGCATTAATCTGGAGTCAGTATGAGTACCAGTGCTTGGTAAGGGTGGAAAAAAATGGGCATTTGGATGCTGTTCCTACCTAGACTGGAGCGCAAATGAGCTAATCCAACAAGCTCTTGCTGAAAGATGCTGTTTCATTCTATTCTCTATGCTTCTGGCAGTGTTCTCTGGCTGCTTAACTTGTGTCAGTTCTCAGCTTGCTAATCRAATTATTAGGTAGTATCAATCACCTAACCTGTTAAAAACTTGCCTGGTTAATCTCTTGTCTTGTTACTGAGCTGGCACAAGGGTAGGGACAAGGAGCTGTATCTCTTGGATCAGTTTGAGCTCTGAGGGGCTTTGCAGAAAGCTTGGCTGAGTGTCAAATATGTACACTATGGCCCTACAGTAGTCCAGTTCCTTATCTTATAAGACTAGTTAARCTCTCCAAGCAATTTAGTAGTCTGTGGTTGAATGAATTTAGATAGGTATCAAACTTTGTTTCCATAAAAAGGGATTATGTAACAGTATTAAGATTGGTAGCAGGGGACAGAAGGTACCTGCTAATGTTGTCAATAGTGTAAGTACACAATTTTTTGTAACTGCTAAGGATTAACTGTGAGAAGTTGATTATTCTGCTTCCCTTTACTGAGATAAGACTTTAAATGGGAAGTTTGAGGGTAAGCTACTAGACTTAAGGTATTCTTACTATGGTGCTATTTTAACTGCTAGTATGGTAATTAATGTTTGGTATGATAATTAATGTTTATTCCTTCTCAACCAGAAATTATTGCTTGGGAGAAAAATGTAGATTCTGAAACAGTAACTTTTCTTGTAGAAGTTCATTGTAGTGGAACATTGCCATACTAGTTTTTAGTGATGTTCTGCTTAATTTAATTTCAGTCATTTAGTCTCAAAGTGCAAGATTGACTTTCGCAGATTCTGTATTGTGGTTCATCTCAAAAATTACATTATTCACAGACATGGTGAATCTTTGGTTTTTGAGAGTCTGAGTTAACAGCAGTACCTGATTTTGCAGCATGAAGGAGTATATGGAATTTCAGTTGCTGTAAAACTGGGTTGGTTAACAGCTTGCTATTGAAAGGGATAGATTCTGATCCCATTCTTGACTGTGCATCTTCCCATTCGGATCCTTCTGGTCTTGGGTGCAGTCTTTCCWGGGCTTGTTCAGCAAGCTAAACAATCAAGAGTGGCTTTGTTGTTCAGCTTTTTCTCCTGGGCTGTTGCACTTGACTAGCCTGGTGGAGGAGTTAAGCACCACAAGGCGTAATCCCTACTACTGTCACAAATAGACTTGGCACATCAGAGGCCTCAACTTGGGCCAAGTTCCTGAGGGAGCCTGCAGCTCTCTAGATTCTGAGCTGCAGGGATGCCTGGAGACACCCATTGGCCAGAAGCAATGAGTCCCTTCTCCTAAAGGTGGGTAGTGGTGGAAAATGGGGGTAGAAATAGTCTGTGTATATCTAGGTTGGGAGATGGGTACTCCTGCAGTGGTGATGGCTGATGGCTTCTGAGAGTAGGAGAGTGATTCCTGTTCCTTGAGCAGATGTGCAATTGCCAAATAGGTTTCGTGCACTGAGAGAAGATACATGGCTGGTAGCTCCTTATAGGTCTTTTACAATCTAAATGATTCTATGGTTTTGTACAACTTAAGTATCAGAACAGCACCTGGGGCAGCAGCAAGTGATAGGAGTGGAGTGGACTTCTGTCAGAGATAGAGGCCTCCACTTGTGRTTGTTTTAGGAAGGTTTGTTGCTTCTGGATACCTCTGATGGAGATGTGATAAAAGGATTGGCAGRGTGTGTTTCAGAACCTTTAAAATTATTAACGTTGCAGCTCTTCTACTTGAGCACTAATGGATGTAATAAGGGGGTGCCTGAAGCTTATCAAGCAAGACTATGTGGCTTTTGGAATGAGGGCCAAGGGCACAGGATGCCAGGTGGGTCTTCTCTATGGTCATCAACCACCTTCTCACCATCAGGAGGAATAAACAGATATTGCCTGTCAACAGTTGTATAGCTCATACTGATAGCAGAGCTTTGGCTCTTATGGCTTTGAGACTGCCTTTGTAGAGCAAGGACTACCAAGAGGAGATAGCATCTACCTATCCAAGCCAGGGCACAAGCAGAAATGACAGTAAAAGAAAAGAGTGCTGCAATGGATAGACATGGACTGCCTAGGAAGGCAGTCTGGGACAGCAAGGAATGAGAGTTGCATTTTATGTGGAAGAGCAGTTGAATTGCATGTATTTGTACCTTCAGTCAGATGAGCCTGTTGAGAGCTTGTGGGCTAAGACTGGAGGGCAGATCAATAGGGGTGACACTATAGTGGGTGCTTGCTACAGACCCCCTGAGCAGGAAGAAACAGATGAGGCTTTCAGACATCTGCAARATGCTTCACTCTTACAGGCTCTGATTCTTATGGGGGACTTCAGTTACCTCACAGTGTGGTATAAGAAGCATCACCGCAGGAAACAGGCAATCCAGAAAGTTTCTGGAATGAACTGGTGACCTCTTGCTAACAAAGGTGATCAAGGAGCTGATGAAGGAAGGCATTATGACGGACTTCCACTTAAAAAAAAGAAAAAAAAAAAGGAAGAGTTGATTAGGGCATTTAAGACTGGAGGCAACCTTAGTTGCAGTGACCATGGGATAGTGGCATTCAGAAGAAGAAGGAACAAGGCAAAAATTAGCATCACAACCCTGGACTGGTTAACCCTGTTTTGAAGAGGGGAATTATGCTAGAGAATTCTGTCAGTGACCTTAATCAGTCACAAGTGGCTGCCCAGGTTAAAAGTGTATGTGCATGCACTCCGCTTGTCTTCCTGCAGTTCACTTACACTRTTTGTAGTGTTCTTGTAGCTGCTTGGAGAGGTCTGCTTGGGGACTTTATCCATGTAGTTTTAATCCATCAGAGGATGCAGCTAAACGTGCAAGTGTACAATACTGCTGAGGTAATATAGGAGCTTCCTTCCTCCAGAAGGTCAATGTCCCCTTCTTCGGTCCTTAGCATCTGCTGCTCACCCTGTACTGATTGAGGCAGATCCACTGCATAAGCTGACTCAATACATAAAGCTGGCAGAAAGCTAACCTAGCAAAAAGCTGAGTACTCTGCTGGGCTAATGAGTTGAATTAGCTCTAATGGGGGCTAGGTTAATTGTCTCTCTGCTCTTTCCCATGCTGCTCTAGCTCTTTCATGTACCGTCTCTGTAAGTGGGGTGCTACCTTAAGGGCATAATTTGTGGTTACTTTAATACAGCAAGAGTGAAGCATTACTAACCAGGAGCCTGTCCGGAATGGAGGTCTGTAGTTTTTGGGTCTGCACCCTGTCACAAAAACAAGTATGTATATAGAGAGTTAATTGGCTGGGGTTTTTTTTTGTTTTGGTTTTTTTTTTTTTGTTTTTTGTTTTTTTTTTTTTTTTTTTTTTATTTAGATGAGAATCATCTCATCTGAAGAGATGGAGGGATTGTCCTCAATATAATATCTTTAATCTAACTTGTGATTTGTTTTAAGGATAAAACTTTAACATTCTTAGCTGCAGAAGGAATTTCTGACTATTTTTCCTCACCTTTTCCACCTAGGATTACTAAAGAGAAAGGCTTTTCGTGGTTGCTGTTTGATTTGGGTAATATTGGGATCCTAGGCAGATTAAACCGAATGCATTTAGCAGAGCATTGATAAAAGCTTGGTGCAGTAATGTCTATTATTATRGCTCTATACAGTAGGTAGAGCTTCTAATTTTGGATGTTAGGCTTCTATTCTTCAATTTTACAATGGCTTSCTTAGGACAATTAGCAGAGCAGTGAAATGTGACAGTGAAGAAACTGGATAATTCTGRTAGTGCTCCTTTTAATTTTATCCTAGTGTCCCTGTATTGTTGTGTTGTCTAGTTTGGGGAGAGGAGGGGTGTGGCAAGAAGTGGATTCTGCATCTAGGCTTTAGAGACCAATATTAGAGGGGTTTGGTCTTTTGCCATCATATCATGGCTGCAGCATAAGTTGTGCATGCAGAAAATTTTGCCTTATACTGTCTCATACGCCAGGTAAGATTGACTTCAGAGCCAGATAAAATAGCACTTATGTAGCAATAATGTTCCTTTAAAAGACAAGGGAGTCTGCACCTATAAAAAGAAAGAAAARAGCTTCACTATACAAGTAGTGTTCTTTCCTTGAATAGTCACTGTCTAGGAAGCCTTGCTAGTCAGGGTAGACAAGTCTAACAATTCAAATGCTGTCTGTACTAAGGAACTGAAGTGGCTTAATCCTTTGTGCATGTTACTAATCCTTTTAGAGTGCGTGCTAGTAATCGAGTTCCTCATGATGAAGTAATGCTTGTTGCTGAACGTCCAGCATTCTTCAAGTGTATTTTCTAGGAAACACATTCAGAAAAACGGAATTAGCTGCCTATTATTAAAAAAAAAGTACGTATTGTCTGTATCCAAGTAATTTAAAAGAGAATAAACAACTACAGATAAGGTACAGTTCCTTAATGTAATATTATCACTGATTGGTTTTCTTTATGAATGTAGAGAAATACTTGTTAATCCTTAACTGGTAAGCCATACAGTTTGGCAGAAGTTTGTAACAGTTATTTGCAAGGAGAGACAAAACAATCATTCCCTTCTGCGGAAAGCTATTAGTGTTCAAAACTGAGCAGAGGAAACAAAAATGGAGAAAACAAGCCAATGACAGTGTATATCCAGGTAAGAATACCTGCCCACATATGGCAGAAGCAGAGGACAGAGCTACTGGGGGCAAAAAGAGGACCATTTTGTTTCTCTCATCTAGTGAAAACCAAAAGATGGTAGTGACAGGAAGCAGTGTAAGTCATTGAGAACTGAGACAAAAATTGCAGACCTGTGATCCAGAGAGGAAGGCTAGCACATTTGCTACAGAGCCCAGCCCAAAAAGCTGGCATTTGGTTTACCTGATGGTGACTTAATTAGAAGGGGAAAAATTCTTAGTCCAGTTCCTCTAGGGTCTATCATTGCAAGTGAATGAACCCATTTTTATTATTCTGTTCTGTAWATGCTGGATACACAGTAATAGAGAAGCCTTAGGGAGAGATTCAAATGTTGACATTTCTTTGATGCTGTGGGCAAAATGGAATTATCAACATAAGGACTAGTATTGCAGAATATCTCAGTTATGTCTCAGTAGATCTTGAGACAAGTAATATGGGTTTCATGGGTATCTATGTTGCACTGCTTTGAAGTTTATTTAAAGTTTTTTCCAAAGGCTTGTTTATGTAAGCTATATATGCAGAGCTGTTTTTGTAAACCTGTCTTGCGGTTATTCCAAGATCTTTTACATAGCTGAGCTTCTCAGAGTTCAGGGAAGAATTGTCCCAATGTGCATAGRGGATGAGTTTATTTCATATTGAACATGATTAGATGCTCAATAGATATTTGTACATGAAAACTAGCAAATTACTAAAGAAAGCAGGCATCAATAATGTATAGGCAAAAGGTTAACTTCTATTGAAATTCATGTTGTCATGTAGAAAGTGTCTGGATTGAATTCAACTTCTTGTTTTAGTACTAAACTTGGTCATTTGATGTTGTCTTTCATTCCTATGAAACAGGGTGACTGCCTGGCTCCAGCTAAGTAGGTTTAACCAAAGCAGACCAAATCCTATTATTTGTAGGGAGATTTCTCAGGTATAAGATAAATATCTGAATTCTTGGAAAGTTCTGTTCTGTTCAGATTTCTGTTTAGAATTGTTTAGTAAGTATGTGAAATGTCACTTTCCTGTTTTACAGATTTACAGTAGCAAGTGAAGAATACTACAGGAGAAAGACCTAAAAATTGAGAGAAATAAATATTCAATAAATACCCATACTTTAAACTAATAATGAATCATAATTGAAGCTTTTTAAACAAAACGAACATGTCTTACAAACTAGGGCTTATCTTCAGAAGTGACAAGCTGATCTGTGCAGGCTACCAACGTATTTAGGATCCCTTACTAATTAAATAGTGAAAACTAAATATAGTAAGCTGTAAATATGTTGTTTACATACTCCTGTGAAGTGTTTAAAACTGAAACTGCTGCTAATTTATGTTTATTCAATGAAGAAACAAACCATACACTGATATATATTTTCCACTTTGGTGTCATCAAACTGATCAGTTTTTTTAATCGGGTCTCAAATCAGCTTAGTTGTTAAGACAAACTGTTGTCTCTAATAATGAACTTTTTTTATTTTTATAAATGCCTATGATATTTTTATTGTAGGTAAGCAAGTGAGAACCAAACTGTCACAGGCCTTTAATCACTGGCTCAATGTTCCGGAAGATAAAATACAGGTACTGGCTAATGATTTTTAAAAGGTTGTTATCTTTCTTCCATGACTACTAATAACAGATGATTCTCTTACATAGCATAAATTATCASGAATCTTAAATGCATTAATTTCTGAGTATAAAGTAAACTTTCAGGAAAACTACTTCAGTGTAAAGCTTTTACTGTGATGCTATGCTAAAGAAATTACTTCCATACCTTATGTAGAATAGTTACTTCTTTCCAAGTATATTCAGCTTTTGAAGTTGTAGATAAGCAGCTATCATTGTTACCCACTTAACTCAGTTATTAACAAAGTTTTTAATGACTTACAAAAGAAGCTAGACAGATACCTTGTAAACTTCATAAATATAGTGGTTGAAAATAAAATCTTAAGATTTTGATACAAGAATATCAAAGACAGCCATTAAGTCAAGTTTACAAAACTAAAACTGAGACRGGTATATCATATAGTCTACAGTCCTTACTTTCTAATGAGAAGCCATAACTAGGAATTCTCATTCCCTTTTGCATTTCTCATGGATTAMGTATGCAAGATGCAAAGCTGTGTATTTGAACACTGTGGCTTGTCAAGTGAAAAACTGTCCTATTTTTAGGTTAGACTGCAATTTTGCTAAACTTTTGCATATAGAATGTGCAAAATATTTTCTGTCCAAGACAAACTAAGGAATTAAAATAATCGGTTGTGGCTTTTGACACCCAGCTGGTCCTTTGTTAAATTCCATTAACGGTTGGAAGAAGTATCTTTAGAGTTTGTGAAGGAGTAATTTTTAGGGTGGCTTAAGTGACACTTCATAGCTCTCAAGTAGCAAAGATATTTAAGTAGTTTAAGAGGCTGCATTTCATTATCTACGAACTCTTCTGTTTTTCAACCTGTGTAACTCTCTAGTAAAATTGATTCTGTCTTTCCGCTAGACACATCCTTTGTGCTCAGACAAATATCCAAATAAAACATACAGCAACCTTTGTATTAAATGGATGGGTTTAATCTAATGTCATAGATCAGAATTCAGATTGGAAGAAGCCTCTGGAAGTTATCTGGGACAATGCTGTGTTTAAAGCAGAGTTTGCTCTGCAGCTACTTTAGGCTTCTGGGAGCTTTGTTTAGTTTTGAAAATCTGGTGATGGAGTTTTTACAGCTTCCCAGGGCCTGTTTTCTCATTATAACTCTTTCATTATAACAAACCTTACCATTCTATTCAAGTGGGATTTTTTTATATTGGAATCTGACTGTTGCCTCCTGCCCTTTTGCTGAGCACCCATGACTATGTGGTCCATTTTGCTTAGTGCTAGAGTAAACTAAAGCTGCAGTGCCTCTGTGTGAACAGAAGTTACCAGTTCTGTAACTTTAAACTGATGATTATGTAACTGCTATTGAAAACTTAGACCCCTTATTTTGATAATCTTTATGAAGAAAACTAGTGCTTTCTCTCCTTTACTACTTGTTTTTAATGGGAGGAGAAAACAAGACCCTGTTATCTCTTACTCKTCATCCTGACCCAACTATCACAACTTCTGTGCGTTCTTGTACTTATTTTTATAATTAAAGATGGTTGAAGTCTGGAGGACCACCTCTGGTCATCTTTTTGACATCTCTCATAATCTTCTTAAGATGTCTCCTGTGTCTAACAGCCTAATTAATTTCCAGCTATTTGTATTTCTTTTATTAAAAATCTGAATTCTGCCACTCATTCTGGGATGTTTTTCGTACCTTAAATTGTTTGTGTAGTTTATTTATATTATACAAATGAGGCTACTGTTCCTTGATAGTTTATTTTAGTATRAACTACCACTGTGCCACCTTTTGCCCCAGCCAGGTGGTCTCTCCCCCCACACTTACTGAGTTTCTAGTTCCCAACTGGTGCCACACTGAAACACTTCAGTGTCTTCTGAGAAGACACTGAAATGGTCTAGCAAGAGTCAAGACCAGTGTTTTCATTTTTAAGGGCTACTTCCTGATGTTTTATGAACTAACTGTTGCCTGAACTGTTCCACTCCTTTCTTTCACCTTTGAAGCATTTTTGACACTGCCTTAAGTTGACAAGGGAACTTGATAGAAACACAGAGTCATGAAACACTGTTTCCATTTAATCTTAAAAGTATGGATGCTGCAAGAGGTACGAAACTGACAGTGTTATGATATAGGTTAGCAAGAGAAATACTAGAATAGGCTTATCCAATGAATTAAAAAATACACGGAGAAACTTTCCTGATAGTACTGAGAATGAGATAGTGGTTCAAAAGAATATTCAAACAAATAGGTGTGTAAAGTTGCCTTCAGTAATTTCTCTATCCTTCGATTTCATAAGTGCTTAAGTAGGTTGTTCTTGCAATCATATCTTGGAAAAGGTATTAARTTGCTGGGGTTTGAGTTTTAATCTTTGGGACAGTGTTCATTGAACATCAGGTGGCTTGGTGCTCAAGAAAATGCTTACAGCAAAGTCCTCATTTTGTCCTACAACACCCACCAAATAGGACCATACTAGTATGTTTTAGCAGTTGTTTTGATGAATGTTGACTGAATCCAATATTTGTAGCTAATGAGTATAATTGGTTCATTAGCTTTAAAATCATATCTTAATCAGATGGGTTTTGCAGTGAGTTTGTATAGTATGCAGTTTTACATGCTTGAATTTATTTCCATTTAAGCATGTGCTGAATATACCTGTTGCTTGCATGGCACTTGTGGAATAAAAGTAGTGTGCAGTGTGTAACAACTCTCTTTTTGTTGAATTGTTAAGGTTCCCTTCTATTCAAATGTAGTCAGCTACAAGCCTGATGTTGTGAATGGTTTATTGCACACCTCAGGTGGTGTATGATTTTGGTCCACCTAGTAACAAGCAGGAAGCTTCCCCAAAGAAATTGTAGCTGTTGTCTTTCTGCCAAGAATTTTCCAAAAGATGTTTCACAGGGAGTAGTCTTTTAAGAGCTCAGTACTGAATATAACCACACAAAGTGTGGGAAAAGAAAGATGAACTCTCTCTCCACTTGTCAAAACAAGGTTCACAAGATAAATGTGATAATGGATGATACCTGACACTCTCAAGAACTGACTTTGGGAGATTTCAGGTTAGTGAATCTAAACATTTCAAAACACTGTTTATTTTCTTTTCCCCTAGTCATGTTTCTAGTAACAGTTACTGCATGACTCCTAGACAGTGGCATGTTTTAGAACTGTAGCAGCAGTGAAGAGGGGCATGCAAGTGGAAGCACTTCAGGGAGTAAGTTAACTTTGAATCTGAAAACATTATACAGAAGACTCTRTGATCCAGGACTTACAGCAAACTGGATGATGAAGAGAACCATAAATCTGTACTAACAGTAAAAGTGAGTGTTGTAAAGAAGAAACGCAGTGATAGAGAATATAGTTCTTTAAAACAGTATCCATTTTAAATATAGTCTTGCAAAACTTGCAGTTAAATTACAGTGACAGACTTCATAATTTTCTTTTCTTGTGATAGGTTATCATTGAAGTGACGGAGATGTTGCACAATGCAAGCCTACTTGTGGATGATATTGAAGATAACTCAAAGCTACGACGGGGCTTTCCAGTGGCACATAGTATCTATGGAATTCCATCTGTAATCAACTGTGCTAATTATGTTTATTTTCTTGGCTTAGAGAAGGTTTTAACCCTTGATCATCCAGATGCTGTTAAAGTTTTTACCCGTCAACTTTTGGAACTCCATAAAGGTCAAGGCTTGGATATTTACTGGAGGGATACTTACACCTGTCCTACGGAGGCTGAATATAAAGCTATGGTTCTGCAAAAGACAGGTGGTCTCTTTGGATTAGCTGTAGGCCTCATGCAGCTGTTCTCAAATTATGAAAAAGACTTAAAGCCACTTCTTAACACACTTGGTCTCTTCTTCCAAATAAGAGATGACTATGCCAACTTGCACTCCAAAGAATATAGTGAGAACAAGAGTTTTTGTGAAGACTTAACTGAGGGAAAGTTCTCATTCCCAACCATTCATGCAATTTGGTCAAGACCTGAAAGTACTCAGGTGCAAAACATTTTACGTCAAAGGACAGAGAATATAGATATAAAAAAGTACTGTGTACATTACCTTGAAAATGTTGGTTCCTTTGAGTACACTCGGAATACATTGAAAGAGCTTGAATCTGAAGCCTATAAACAAATAGAATCACTTGGGGGAAACCCTGAGCTTGTAGCACTAGTTCAACAGCTGAGCAAAATGTTCAAAGAGACCGAAAATTAAAAAATTAACTTCTGGGTGTGGATTAAAACTCCCTTTAAAATGGGAAGATAACCAGATGGAGAAGTGTGATAATCAGTCTTATGTAAAACTCTCTTGTAGCCATGTTTCAGAAATKACTGTTAAAAATAACTTGTCATTGAGTTTTGGAATACATACCCTATTATCTCTGAAGTCTTAACTGTAGCTACTTACAGTTGGTTTTGTTAAAGCAGATGTACTGGAACTGAAACAAGTTTTGACTCTAAGTGTAATAATCTTTACACAACCATAGGCATTATTTCATACCTAAAACTCTTGTGCCCCTAACCAGGCTATGACAGGTTTCTGGTTGAAATTCTGTGTTAAGTTAAATCAGGTTGACATGTGAGTAGTGTGCATTTTAAACAATGCTTCTATAAACCAAAATATGTGTTAAAAACCAAAAGAAGATACTTGCAACCACAATACACATATAATTGTTGCGTGATGTTTGTAAGTTTAACTTGTGAAGATCAGGTGGGTCAGCTTACTATGTTCTAGAGTGAATATCCTATCCAGCTTCAGGGATATTTTCAGGGGAATGGGAATTACAGAAGATAGTATTTTATATGCAAATAAGACTTGCTTAGTCTGAGATTGGGACTTTGTAAAGATTTTGAAGTACCTCAGAAAAGATTTCATCACATTGACAAAGTGTGAATTTGCTGCTGATTCCAGCTCTTTAGTAAATAATACTGCTCACCTGGTTTTAGATTTTGAAACTGTAGAACATTCTGTAGCCAGAAACTTGGATCTGTGCATTAGAGTTCATATATGTAACTGTAAATAGCAACATAATGAGCTACTATTGTGAATGGAAAGGTATTCACGCCAGGTAACTTTAGGACGTCATAATTGGCGCAGGTCTCTTTAATCTCTGCTTATAATTGAGGGGCTTCTCCAAGACTTTATTTATAATTCATTCTTCATTCCTGTTATGAATTGCTTTCTGGAGGCATGTTATAGATCTCCCCAAAGAGACAAGAGCTGTATTTTTTTGTGAAAGTACAGTATCTTGTTTTACAAGCTACAGTACCACTTCAGTTTTGTTAATTGTTTATATAGAGCTTTAAAATTATAGATATACCAAAATAGAACTGGGACTAAGAGCAGAATTTAGGGGTGAGACTGATAACTAATTAAGGTTCTCTGCTTATATATATATATATATATATATATATATATAAAGAAAAAGGTTAATAAAATGTAAGCAGATACATTTGGTTTTTTCTTGGCTGGGCTGGCTTTAATCAGGTTCAGTTCCCTTTGTGTTCACAGCTGTATTAAGCTTTGCTTTGGGGTAGCAAGGTAATGATTTGGATCAAATGTAGGACTGGTGCTATAAGCTGTGGTGTTAGCTCAAGCATAGTCGGAAATGGACAGAGGTACTTGGCTTCTGATGGCTAAAGGATAGTTTTATGCTGATGTTTGTTCATGTACTGTACCTGGAAAACAGGGAGGGCTATGCTCTCAACCCACTGAGAAAACTAACTGAAAAAGGTTGCTGTGATATCTTCCGTTCACAGCCTTAATATCCTTCTGAAGGTGATCAAACATGACAAAATTGACGATGACTGCTTTCAGTCAGAAATATTATGTGGTTATGGATGATAGCCTATCCCTTTTATCTGCATGCTGAGGAGAAATCTTTGATTAGGCACAGTTCACTGAATGACCTGATTGCCAGGACTGAATAGCTTAAAGTTGGTGAAAGGTGTCTTTAATGTTAATGAAAAAGAATTGTAATTCCTTTTTCATAACTGGCAGTGCTTAGCAAGCCTGTAAATTTTTAATGTGTTATGTGAAAATACTGTCTCCGGCAAATTACATTTATTTTGTGCCATGTCTTGGGAGTTTCTAAGCACTGTTGCAGTTAATGCTGAATGGGGGAAAGCACTGAAAAGATTACTGTTGTCAAGAGAATCTCCTAGTCTTACTGTGAAATGTATCCTTGTGCTTGTTAGGATATTGTAACTGCAACACAATGCAAAGTGCTCTTAGTGCCATTTCATTTCTGTTCAGTTGCTGGATGTAAACTGTTTGGTGTAATCAAACTTTCATAATGAGGTAGCTTTTTTATTTTTTGTATAAYGCTTTTCTACCATCTGAAATTTCTGCTATGTCATTGCTTCTTTGTTTCATTCTGGCAATTCACCCCGCTATTTATTCTAATTCCACATCTCGTAGAATGTGCCTTCATTGACTTAGGAGTAAGTACATGGATATTTTCCAGTTGCAGGCCATTTAAACCACAAATAAGTACGAAGGGAAAAGCTGGTCCAGCTTTCTTTTCCCAGGGTACAAGACCACACAGCTCTGTCTTACTCTTCTGCCTTCGAGGCCTTTGATACCAGTATTCAAAGCATACCCTGAAGGTCTATCTGAAAAGGCCCAGAAGCAGCACATTGTTGCTCTTCACTTTGGTTAGGAAAAACAGGATTGGGAGAGCTTTTCTTGATGTATTCAGGAGTTGGAAGAGGTTGGGATAATTCCCCTTGATCTGTTAAGCTGGTGGAGCATCTTTAAGTACTAAATGTCTGTAGTACCAATGTCCCTTAGTCAAGGTCGATTTATATTCAGTGCCATAAAATGAGTCTGCATTCTCATCATTATTCTCCAATGTTATCACTGGTACAAGCTCCTGAGGTTAAACAATGTTAGGAAAAACCTTTCTTTAAAGCAGCATAGGAGTCCTTGTGGCTGCAGAATTAGTTTTGTTGTGTAAGTGTCCCTCTCTGTTGCTATGCCTCCCGCAACACAGGGAGTAGGGATTTTTCCTGATCTTCATAAGATATGCACTTTTGTAGAAAGGAAATCTAAGTTACAAGTGGAGCTGCCCATGGGGAAAAAAAAGGGGTGYTGGTTTCAATGTCAGCCCCTTTGAGCCAGAATTGTTCCACTTATCTTCTTACCATTGCCAACAGCTTCTACTTTCATCAGGTTATCACTGCATTTCTTGGGGATTTAGTTCTTGCAGTCCACATTAAGAGAAATGCAGATACTCATCAGTCTGGAGCATTTCCCCCTACCTCAGTCTGTTTTCTGATTGTRTGCTTGCTTGGATGTAAACGAATGCTGTCACCTGTCTTAGAGTAGCCAGCCATTGGATGGGACGTCTGTRTCTTTGATTTTTCAAAGGCTGATCTTGTCCCTATCAATTATGATGAAAATTGTATCATTTCAAGACCTTCCTGAGGAGATACTTTCTCCTCTGCCTTTGAACTCAGACTGTTCAGGTCCCCACTAAGAGCAACTTTGTATGTATCAGCCAGTTGTTGATACAAAAAAAACTAAAAATGTTTATGGGAAAGTAACTGTTGTCATTTCTTTATGCTTCTGCTTTTTTGTTGATTTTGCTAATCTGGCTGCATATGCTATGGAAAYTTCCTATATTAACAACTGCTTTCCTCAGTTATTGTTAAAATATTAAAAGGTATAAAAACATGGAATTTGGGGGGTTTGTGAGAGAGTTTGCATTTCTCGTGTAAAACTGGTTTGAACTTTAATATGCCTTTACCACCGAATTGGGCCAGGCTTTTATTCACATTGAAGAGCTGTATGGGCTTCTGTTGCTCTTCTTTGTCCTGTCTTAATAATTTTAAATTTCAGGTTTGTTGTTTACCATGTTYTTTGTATTATTTGCTCAGTGCTTCCACCGTAATTCTTCTTTCAGCTATATTTCTATTCTGCTGTTAATATCCTACCACACATAATACCATCAAGCTCATTTTTTGATCCTGGATAAACATAATGGTCTCAGTCTACTTTTGAAATGTTGAATCTTGGCTCATCATATGCCTTCACAAAAGTAATTCAAGATTTTCTGCAATCTTGAAATGCCCGATTTTTTTTTTTTTTCCAGGAAGCTAAAGCCTGTAACATTTTATATTACCATAAATTATTTTTGTCTCATGTATCTTAAGCTACTTTCCTTGTCCTACCTGTTTGCTTTCAAGACCCATTTTGCTTTGCTGGTAAYGCCTGTTAGGCCTTTTTATGAATGAAGTTAACTGAGGAAGAGAAGTTAAATTTTTTTTGGATTAATGAATTATCCCACTCAGCAAGAGCCTGATGAATGTCAGAGCTGGCAGGTGGACAAAGGGTAAGACAAGGATTTGAGAGAATAAGAAAATTATTTTTTTCTTCCTGAGGCTGCCTCATGTACCATCACCTTGTTTTACAGAATTTACTTGATTTTGTTAGGGAAGGCTGAAATGTGTGATTAGTTTGAGCTTCCCTTCTTGCTTTCAAATACTGTGAGAGATACTTAAGTTAAAAATTATTTATTCTGATAGTTATTTATGTAACTTGCATAATACAGCTAAAGATTTTGATTAAAGGCACAGATAAAACAGTACATTGTTTCATTACTGTATTTTTCTTTCTCTTAATAATGTTTCTGTTTTTGAAGTCAGGGCAACATAATCTGCCATGTGCTTATTTGAGTTGATTGCTACCTCCGATTAACATCCTTCTCGAATAACTTTTATCATAGCTAAGCATCAGTGTTCATCTTTTCTGCAGCATTATTGTAAAATTACTTCAGAGGCATCTTGTGAGGTGTGGCTAGGAATAATCCATGATTTGTTAATTCACTTCAAATCAAGCATATTGTCTGCAAAACTTCTGATAAAGGTGCGGGTTAAACCACTCTGACTCTGATAGTGTTCCTCACCCGTGTACCCTGTAGAACAGTAAGTTCTCAGTTAAATTACTGAGAAAGTATTTACTGATTATCTCCATTTAGATAGAGAACATGGGAGGTACCCCAGGAAGGCCTAATGTGGCACTTCAAGGGAAAGCACTACAAAACCTGACATGAATTTGTGTAGAAGACTAACCCTGCGGTGAAGGGAAATCATAAATTATTTTCTCCTTTTGAACTCCAGGAAAATACTCATTTGTATATGAATTACATGCTCACAGTTAAGCAGCTACATCATCTCTTGACCACAGTAATTAATTTTTCACTCTCTTCATAATGTTTCAGTTGCTCTTTCTAGAGCATGTAGTGTAAGTTACTTAATCACTCAGTAATTACTGGAGTCTGTAAAATGGCAAATGCATACCTTTTTAAATATATTTTGAAATATATAAAAACTGTCCTGTTTTCTTGCAATCTGTCTTACTCTGCAAAGAAATCCTGCTGGCTGAGGAAGGCATAACCTATCACTGACTGAAGTTATTAAACCCACTGAAGTTATTAAACCCATTAGGCTAATACTAAAGCCTGTGTGAACAGACTGGAGAGGAAAAAAAGGTTTGCAAGGAAAAAGAAACCAAAGTTCTTTCAAAATATAATTTCCTGTAATTGCTGAGTTAGTACATGAAGGATGAGACTAATTCCAACAGTTTTGCTGTGGTTTTAACTGAAGAACCTGTAGCTAACTGCTTTCTTTTTGGGAGTGGGATGGAATGTATAGGTCAAAGTAAAAGCGATAGAGAGGAATTGTCATTGCTATCAAAGAAATGTAAAAACTGTGCTATAAGCCTAACTTCTTATCTTGTATGCCAACCAACACGAATGTTCAATCAGTTCAGAAGYTAAATGGGTTTTTACTTCAGTGCTTATAAAATACTGAAGTTGTAACTTGAGGTAATGAGCTGAAAATGTTAAATTGGTCTAGTTGTTTCATTGGCATTGGGACTGTCCTGTTTCTTGTCAGAGCATGAACTATGGCTATTTGTTGATTACAACCTAAATAAGAAGAGAAAGGAAGATTAAACACTAAGTTATGCTATTCTCATTATCATTTTAGAAATACTAAATACATAAATTTGACAACATGTATGTAGATTCTGAGAATGGCTGGATTACCTGTCAAACTAGGGGATAAAACTGGGGCAGCTGGGGTCAGAAAGATCACCAAAAGTATTTTCTTATTTTCAGCGCCTTTCCTGACAGACTCCTGCACAAAGTAGAGCATGCTCTCAGCTTTGACCTTGGGAACAGTGGAGGAGTCAGAAGGGGAGAGCAAGAGGTCCTACCGCTCTCACTTGTACCACTACCCGTTGGCCCCAGCATTGTTTGAAACTGGAACAGATCGTTCCAAGAGTGCCCTCTGTGGGAGACGAGTGGCCTTAGGAACCCAGATGAGACAGCATCACCACCAAAGATGTAAAAGGAGGACCAGGGTATCTATTTTTTCACCCAATGCTATTAGTCGGCCTGAAATAACACATTATCTRTGGGAAAGGAGGACTGTGAGATAAAGTCACAGAGATCTTTGCAGGATTGTCTCTTTGGAGAGCAGCTGCTTTATGCAAGACRTAAAGCATACCCTTGAAGCCTGTTACTTGAAAATGCAAGCTATCAGCATGCTCAAGAATATACATATTATCCAGATTATTTTGATTGGAATGTACTAGTGTTGCCACTTACCTGTACCTGATTTCTGTAGTCACTATCACAGATTCAGAGTAAAGTGTACTAACATGCTGCCTGCCAAAAGAACAGACAGATTTAACATAATAGATGCAGAGGTATAGGACTGAAAGAGCTGATTCRTTACTGTCATGATTGTTCCAGTTTTGTGGTCCTAAAAATTCAGGTAATATAGTTTGAATTAACCTGTTACTGAACTATGAAACACAAGAGATGRACAAATGTAAAAAACATCACTAGGATACTGTGATTTTCACAGCCACAGATCTTGYCATACCTATCTATCAAACTGAGGAGCTCTTAATAAATTTCTGCTCTTTACCAACTGGTACTGGAACAGTCAGGTCTTTCATTTTTTGCTGTGCACATTAATCTATGCACAGTGGACACTTTGATTTTATTTTTTTCCATGTGTAAGTTGCATCCTCTAATTATTACAGCTCTTCTCTGGATCCTCTTTGGGGATATTTTTCCCTAATACTGAATGTTGAAATCAGTGCGGTAACAAATGTAGCAGGGTGCAGGGGAATACAACCKCTTGGGAGTTCTCCTGGCCCGGGAGTGCTCCGGGGGAGCTGTACTGCTCAGCCAGTCACTCACGTTCTCCCCAGCCGCTGCTCCCGGGAGAGCGCCCCAGCCTTGACTTAGGGACTGGGAACCGTCTCGTGCTCGGTGTCGGCTCACCGGCGCCACGGGGCTTTGCCCACAGCGCGCAGCTTTACTACACGGCAGCGCTTCCCCGGGGGACCGTCCCTCCCTCCCTCCCGACAGCCCGCCACGGGTGTGCGGTAGCTCCCAGGAAGGCAATTCTCGGGGACTCCCCGGCACGCGGGCGAGTGGCTTCCCGCCTTCTTCCCTCCCGGCACCGCCGCGCGGGCCCTGCTCGCCCAATCCGAGCGCCTTCCTCTCACCCCGCGGCGTTCTGGGAGCTGTAGTCCAAGGTCGGCAAGCCTGTGCGGCGGARCTGCCTTGATGAACTTCATTACCCAGAAAGCTCTACGGCTGCGACGCCCCAGACCGATTTGCCCCTGAAGGCGGTGACATGCGCAGGATAAAAAGTGGAGATGGGCCAATAGCGGGCCACGGCAGGGCGGCCCCGGGGCCCCGGCGGCCAATAGGAGCGCGCCGGGAGCGCGGGCGGGGCGGGTGTCGGGCGGTGTCGGGCGGCGCAGGGCGGAAGTGAAGCGGTGTCGCGTCTCCCGTCCGGTGCGTGAATTGCGCCCGCGGCCCCGTGTGTGTGGAGGCCGGGGGCCGAAAGCAGCATCAGAAGAGGCTGTTCAGGGAGCGGGGAGCGGGACGGGATGTGGGAGCGGCGGGGGTTAGTGCCGGGAGGGAGTCCGGCGTGCAGCCGGGCGGCAAAAGAGCAGCTCAAGATAGGGGCGTTGTAGGAGCAGAGACTTGCGCGTGTGTTAAGGGCGTTTCTTCCTATCCCTGCAGTTCTGGGAGCAGCCCGAACTCCAGCTATCCCGGGATGGCTGCCGGGGTGCCTCCCGATGCTGTGGGTCGGCGGGTCTCGTGTGGCACCGACTATGGAACTGTGCGCTATGTGGGCACCGTGTCTCGTACAGCAGGTGAGTGTCACAGAAGTAATAATCTTCATATTTAATGTCTCTTCTCGAGGTTCTATTCATGTTCTTCTTAATTAAAACCCCCCACATTGTCAAGTAGAACGAGGCAATTTACAAATTGATTTTTCTTCGTTGTTCTTGTGTAAATGTGGCAACTTCTAATCGTCGTGAGTTATTGGGTTTTGGGGYTTTTTTAAGAAGCCAGAGTTGCCAAAAGTAGTGTAAGAAGTACTTTACAGTCTGTTCCCTGATCTTTGTGCTGGTGTAGTCAGAGAAGGCGAGAGACAGGCAACAGCAGCTGATCTTYAGCCCAGGTACTGTTTTGATAACATGCTGTTGGGTTTGCATGACCAGGTCTGATAGTGGCAAGGGCTACATCTGTGAGAAGCTGCCAGAGGCTTTCTCCAACAGAGAAAGTGTCCAACAGAGCTAATGCCAGTTGGCTCCAGAATGGACCTGCTGCTGGCCAAGGCTGAGCCATCGGCAATGGTAGTAACACCTCGGTGAAGCCATCTTTAAGAACAGGAAGGAAAAAYTCATTGCACAGATTGTTATCAGAGAAAACTGAGTGAGACTATGTCAGAGGAACAGCCCTGCAGACACCAAGGTCAGTCAAGAAGGAGGGGAAGGAGGTGCTCCACATCTCTGCCAGAGCAGAGATTCCCTTGCAGGCCTACCAAGGCAGTTCCCCTGGCAGACCATGGGGGTCAGCAGSAGGGCAGAGATCTACCTGCGGCCCGTGGAGGAGACACACAGAGGTGGATGCCTGAAAGGAAGTGGTGACCCTGTGGGAAGCCCCCACCAGAGCATTTTCGTGGCAGACCTGTGGACCCACAGAGAGAAGAGCTCTGCTRTAGTCCTTGGTAGGACTTGTCACCCTGTGGAGGAGCTATACTGGAGTAGCATYTTCCTGAAGGACTACATCCTCTGGTATAAAGGGTTCCACAATGGAGCAGTTTCAAAGGAAGTGTACCGTGGCGTGTGGGGAGGACTTACGTTGGGCAAGTTCATGGAGGACTGTCTTCCATGGGAGGAAGCGCTCCTGCGCTGGAGCAGGGGAGGGACTCAGGAGGAAGCAGCAGAAATTATGTGTAATGAACTGACTGTAACCCCCATTCTCCGTATCCCTGCACTGCTGGTAGAGAGGAGATAGAGCCCAGGAAGGAGGGAGGGCTGGGGTGGGGGTATTTTTAAGATTAGTTTTACTTCTCATCATTCTGTTCTTGATTTTGATTGGTAATGAATTCAGTTTCTTTCCCTAAGTCAAGCCTGTTTTGTCCATGACAGTCGTCAGTGAGTGATCTCTCTCTGTCTCTCCTGTCCCATAGAGGTGGAGAGTGACAGAATGGCTTTGGATGGGCATCTGGTATCTAGCCTGGATCATCCCACCATACATATTCAAATTTATGGGAAGAAGACTAGCCTTGCATACAGTTCTGGAAGAGGCAGGAAGGATGACCAGGAACTGCATACTTGTCCTTCCTTCAGTTTCTGGAAAGATCGTGTAGTATGTTTCCTTGGGATCCATTTCCAAGCCCATGAAAGACAGGATGATAGTTGGGAATATTTGCTACTAGTAAAGAGGAAAAAGTTGTGTTTGACAGATATGATTACCTTCTGTAATGATATGTAATATGACTGTGAATGTTAGCAAAGAGAGAGCAAGGGATGTAATATTCTTTGACTTTAATCAGTCTTTTAATAGTGTCTCCATAAGAATCTTATTTAGAAGCTGAAGAAATACAAGGTAGATGAATGTTAAGTAAGTTGAAAGTTGTCARTTGGAAAAGAAATTAATGACTTGATATCAGGTAATGAGTGAGTACTACAAAATTAAATGCTGCAATCTGTATTGTTTCACGTATTCATTAGTGACTTGGGTGATGAACAGTGGTCGCCCTCAAATGGCTGCTGCGATTCAAGTTAGAATTGCAATCTGGATCAAGCTTTATGAACCCAAGAGATTCAGGGATAAATTTCCACATGTAGTATGGCCTAAGAAGTTCTAGCAACTCACAGAGTCTGTTGTAAAAGACTTGGGATTTAAGTTGGATACTGTCATGAATATGAGCCAACAGTGATCTCTTGTAACAAGCAAAGATACATGTTGTATTAGGTTCCCTTGGAGGGAAGTGATGAACATGGCCTGCAAGTTAAWGGAAGCTGTTAACCCTCTCTGGGGGCAGAGGTTCTTGACAAGGTTACATTTGGAGTAATGTATCTGATGTGGGAACRCTCCAGTTCAAGAAGGATGCAAATAAATTCTAGAGGATCTCAAAGATCTCCTCTCTTCAGGAGTCTTGGAGGACTGCCAACGTGGTTACGGGCACAAACCATACAGGTGTTGTGAAGAGATGGAAGGATCTGGGCTTGGTTAATGTGGTGAAGAAAAAGTGACATGACTTCCTACAGCTGTTTGACAGGTGGTTACAAAGATGGCACGGCCTAACTCTTCTTACTAGTACTAGATTATATAAGAAAGGACAATGGCCACAGCAGGAAAATCTTTTCCATTACAGAAGTAATGCAGCACTGGAATATGCTTGCCAGATGTGTTGCAATCTTTCTCCCCTTGGAAATTTTCAAGATCTGGCTAGGTAACAACTTACATGACTGGCTTGTTTTAGTACTGGTGATAATCTTCTGCTTTGAGAGAGAAAATTAGGCCAGGTGAACTGCAGAGGTTCCTTCCAACCATGATTTCAATGGTTATGATGCCATAAATTTGAAAACATATCTACCATTTTTTTTTCAGGAATTTGGCTGGGCGTGGAATGGGATGATCCTCAGAGAGGAAAGCATGATGGCAGTTACGAAGGAACACAGTATTTTAAGTGCAGGTGGGTTGATTCACAGCATTGGCATGTTGTGCRTGGTGATGAGATGATCATGGGAAAAGGCCCTTTGGCAATTTTTAGGGCAAACCCTTCTGTTATCAGTTGGCCAATATTAAAAAAGATCACAATTTTGAGTCCTCTGACTAGCTAATCCATAGAGGCTCTTGCAYTGTCATTAATCCAGTTACAGGCATTAGAATATAGTAAATACTTAGAAAACACGAGTCATATTTCCAGAGATATGTCATAAAATGGACTTTTGGATGTTATTAATATTACTGCTAGTAAGTTTTAGACCTTCTAATTCAGTTAGGAGATCAATATTTCCTACTCACCTTCATTAGGTAATCCTGAATGAAATCAGTCCATATTAACTGTTTCAAATACAGTTTAAATTCAGACTCAAGGTGACTTGCATGTATCTTGTTAAGGATAAATGCCAAGTTCCTGTTAATGATTTGGGTTATATTTGTATCACCAAGAWATCATTAAACATGTTCACTGCATTTAGTAAAATGCAAAACAAAGTGCAGCTGTGGGGAGGTTTTTAAATATATGCATGCATTACTTTGAAGTGTAAAGATTCAAGCACATAATGTGTTTGAAATTGCAGAATACAGGACACTAGAGCTGATATTAACTGTAGCAAGTAGTTGGTTCCTATGTCAGGAGATACTGCAATAGCTAAAAGTTTGTGAGTTAAATAGTAACTGGATGAATTCTTAGAAGAAAGTCATCAAAAGCTGTTAAATACTACAGGTTGCTAGCTCAGTAAGTTCCTGAGCACTGAAGTGGTGAAGGATGAGAGAACAAAACCTATTCTTTAGAAAAATAAATAAAGAAGGAAACACCCACCTGTGAGGACTGGATATTTTTTCCCTTGTATGTAATAATAACAGAGCAAGGTTTGAGGAGGATAAACACACTTAATACAAGGAAAAATTCGACATTGCTGGATTTTTTTTGCAGGTAAATAATTGGAAATTATTTACCTGCAAGGTTCAATGCAACCTTGTCTTTTAACTTAATGTATTAGTGGAAGTTGTTTCTTAAAACTTTAAATTTCGTTGAAACAGTTTCCAAGTTGAAGCTATGTTCTGCTGTAGGAGAAGAAATAGGAATAATTGGCTGACCATTCTAAATTTCTCTGGACAGAAAAAGCAATTGAACATTTTATGAATRTTTTTCAGAAACTTGACTGCTTTACATTTGTGTGGGGATGATATTTATATACATGTGTATAGACTCTTGAGTTTTTAGCAACCCAAGGGTATTATCTAATTAGTAACACAAAACCCARTTAGTATGCTTCCAGGAGATGAGATCTCAGATAATAATCTCATTTCTTGATGTAAGAATCAATGTTTTGAGTTAAGTTCAATACCCATAAGCAATATAAATGTTGTGGTCTTTAAACATGTTGTTCTTACAATACCTGTCCTTTGTACTCTGCTTTATTTCCAATCAGTAAAAGTCCTTCTGGAGTCTAAGAAAATAGGTAGTAAGTCTAGCAGTGCTCTATGACACACACACATAACTTCCTGGATGCAGACATGTTTGTAGTTTCGTACTGACTGTAAAGCTATAGGCAAATTAAAGCAGAAAATAGTTACCTTATTTTAGCAAAAGGATACTAAAAAAACAAATTTCAACTAAATTCTCCCACAATTTAAAATGTCAGCTCTTTACTACAACTGTTTAGGGAGGGAATATTTTTTCTTTGTAGATGTATACACATATATAAAAAAAATCTTTTTTTTTTTTCCCTTACACCTTATCACAAGTACCATTTGCCTACAAGCCTACTTTACTCTCTCCTTGAATTCTGATAAGGAGAAGMAGCTGGTCAAGTAGCTTGTACTGTAAAAAAATAAAGTGAAAGGACATTTTAAAATTATTTTTAAGGCGATTTTGAAAATAATTGTTAAAAAAATATATCCTTCAGAGTGGCATTTGAAAARAGATCATAAGAGGAAAATAAAACTGAATTTGAAATCCTCATTACTAGAGAATCTTCTTTCAAGTCCRTACTTGAAACTGTTAGTCTGCTTACAGCTGTATGCAATCCTTATAGTAGGCTCTTTTGAAAATACAACCTAAACTTTTATGTTTCATGGCAGTATGTTTATCTGGGTAATATATTATATGTTGATAATTGAACTTCTTAAGAATATAAGTACCAAAGAACAAAACAGCCATACTTCAAAATATGCTGACATCATGAGCATGTTCATCAACCCTGTTATCAGCTAGAAATGGTAATGCACAATCTAGTGGTGGTTTTGTGGGGTTTTTTTYCCGTGATAATAGGATATTGTTTCTTAATAACTGAGGAAGCTACTATTTTAGCTGTCAGTTGCAATAGTGTATAATGTAATTGAATTATGTTCTAAAGTTCAAGAGAAATTAGGAGTAATCAAGCCTTTAAACAGTGTTTAAATTTCTATACAGCTTTTGAAACAYGAGGATGCTTTCAAATAGTTCTTGTCCCACAGACCCATTCACACAGTTGTATGAATGTGCTCCCCTGGGAGATGTGGGTTACAAGCATGCATTCCTCCCCTGGGAATACCGGTGCCTTAACCATACAGAATTCCTCTGGGATACAGGGTTGCTCCAGCCTCTGTATCATTGTGCTGCTTCCTGCAGTCTATTCATGCAGCTGCTGGTAGAGAGCAGCTCTGAGGCCACACGTACACCCTGAGCTGTGGGGCACGTGTTGCTCCTCACCCTGTCTGTCCTTGCTGGGCCCAAGCTCACCTTAGAGCTGCTTCCTGGTAAGATACCATCTGGAATAGGCACAGATGTGCTGCTGCTCGGGTGACTTCTGACAGCATCAAAACAGGTTTTGACTGCTGCTCTGGTACCCTCTGCTTTCTCSCCACAGTAGCTGATATTCAGGCTTCTTTTATGTTTCCTGTCAAGTGGTGTGTCCCCCCACACCCCCATTAATCTGTCAAAAGAGAGTCTTCCTCATTAGCTCTCCTGCCAGTGAGTTTTGGGTATTCCATTCACACAGAGCATTTACACAGGCATTGCTATTTTAGTTGCTGTTTTTCTCCCTGCTGTTTTGCGGGGGGAGATGTGTGGATTCTCCAGCACTATTATGTCTACTTCTCTGCTTACATCACAAGATAGGAGTAACATTCTGCAGTTATCAYAGCAATTGCACACATTCAATCACCTATTTAGGGTACTTTGAGTCATAATTCTCTCCCTGCTAGAGAATGTTTTGTTCTTCCCAGATCACTTTCCAGAGGAATCCTGATATATCAATAGCTCCTGTAGAAGTATTGACCATATTGAATTGCAATCCCTTATCGCAGATTTGAGTTTCACAGCAGGCCAGAGAAATGGAGAAAAGTACAGAAAAAGCTTATTTTGTTATGTTTTCAGCCTGGCACAATTGCAGTTGCTGCCCAGATCTTTCTGGCCTTTTCCCCCTTTGTGTTATTAAGTTTTCTTCTGGTGGAAGCTTAGACTTCTGTCTATTTGTGTAGTCCTGAAATGCTGAGTCATCCATGGCATCAGTTTTTTCTTCTTCAGTGAGTTTTATAAGCTGTGTGTAGACAGCAGTTGTGACCAGTTGTATGTTATTGTTTTTGAATTTTATGTTCCTGCCCAAAGCAATCACAGAATTGTTTCACTTGGGAAAAACCTTCAAGATCATCAAGTTCATCAACTTAGCACCACCCTGTTCACCATTAAACCATGTCCTCAAGTGCAATAATCACATGTTTTTTGAATGCTTCCACCACTTGCCTGGGCAGTCTGTTCCAATGCTTTGCAACCTTCTCTGCAAAGAAATTTTTCCTGTATCTATCTAAACCTCCCAAGGTCACAGAAGTAGGTCAGATTGGTGAAGCAGGAGCTGCCCTTCATAAACCGACACTGGCTGGGCCTGATTCCCTGGTTGTTTTACACGTTACATGATGGCACTCAATATAATGTGTTCCATGAAAGAAGAAGATCTGTTTATATTAAATCAGTCATTTTTCCTTCAAGGATGACAGTTTCAACTCCAGGGATATCTACCTAGAGCACATACAAACTCTTAAAATACAGGAAAAGTATCAATATTGATTTAGTGTCCATGAAGAAAAAGTGATTTCCATTTTACAAAGGCAGAAAGCATTCCTAAAATACCTTTTAGCCTGAGAAGGTTTCAGTTAAGAAGTTTTGTCCATCAGCAACTTATGCTCTTTGCTGCCAATAGTTGTCCCTAACTACTGCTCAAACATGTTTTCTGCGTACCAGCAGAACCTTAASATAGCATCTAAAACTGCAGATGTCTGTCTGTCTTTCCTGTGAAAGCTCAGAGTCAAGTTTCATGTGTGTTTAACTAAGGTAAACTTTCAAGAACAGGAAGTATTTGCTCATGTTTGCAAAGCTTCTGCTATTCCATCAGATAGGAATTTGATGCACCATGTTAGGTGGTAGTGTTAGGTTTGATGCTTGTGGCCTGTTCTAAAACTTGAAGGAATTTCTTTACTGAAGTGTGTAGATTCTTCCGATAGAAGTTTGGTCTGCTGAACAGRTACCTTCCCGTAGGAGGAAGAGATCTGTTCAGAGCCTGTGTAGAAAASATGTGCCTGGATTTAAGCAGCTCCATTTTATGACACCTTATGAGCCTTGTAGTGCATTTCCTGCAGTCATGATGATAATTGCCTGGAGATGATCATTGCAAACATGGTCCTGGGCAAAGAAGCCCTTTGATCCGTGTTTACTTCCTAGGCTGATAAAGCTGACATCTCTCTCCGTGGCTAAGAAGCTTCTGCAGTCAGAGAGCTCAAGGGTGTAACTGTTATATRTACCTCCTGCATTATTCTTCAGGTACTGACAAGTGTGTGTGTGATATTTCCCTAGCATAGGAACAGCCATCATGTACCTGTAATGATGAGCAGCACCACAACTTAGTTTTATATTAGCAAAGAATGGTGCCAAATTTCCTCTTGATTCAGGAAGCTGAATAGCTAATCTACATTTTAATGAATGTCTTTGAAGTGTCCTGGGCATGCCAGCAGATGGGCTGTATGCTTCAGGCTACTGARTCATGAATAGGAACTGTCCTACAAGATGACTTCTGAGATTGGGGTCAATCTCTCTATTCTAAAAGTCAGTAGGAAGTGCCAGTATTAACTAAAGCCAGCTGGTTGCCAGAGCCCCACCTGACCATATTCCACATTTTCTCTTTAAGAAAATGGGGCCATATGTTCTACCACTTTATTTCCACACAGTGTTTTGTCCTGACTGCAAGGTATTTTGCATAAGTGGGAGCAAAATCCTTGTCAGACGTCTGAGTGTTCAGCTTAAGTCAGGTTCATCAGTAGTTCACAGGTTCTTCTGTCTCATGATATGCTTGCTGGATGATTTTTTAGATTAGGATTTATGTATTTAGTTCCCAGTTATGTAGACTGATGGCTAATAGGTGTGTTGTTGCATTAGTCCAGGTGCTGTGCATTGTTTGTGCAGTTCATATGCCTCAGTGTGAAAGTTAATACAGGCAGTGTGTTTTAGGGAAAAGGAGTTAYGCTGACCTCTCTCCTTGAATACACAATAATTTTGCTTGAAAATAGGYTCCTATTGCAGTTTCATTTCCTGTCCTTAGTGACAGTTCCTGAAAAAGTAGATCAAGTAAATAGACTGGAACTGAAAAAGAAGCTTAGGCTGTGGAATGGATGTCAGTATACATTAGGTAACTTATAATAGCATGRAGAGTAATGGGAAGTGATAGCAACAGGAGAGAAAATCTATGTACTTGTGATCAAGACAAAAAGAGAAGGGATAAAAAAAGAGAGATAAAGATACTAAAATTTTCTTGTAGCTTTGAATGACAAGGGACAGAGTAGCAAGGTTCCTCTGCCCTTCCACATCCCACACCTCCCCC